ATGTTTGTTCAGCAGTTTTCCTCTTTCCTTATTAAACTTTTGCAGAGCCACAATGAGACGAAAGAAAAATACAAAAGCAAAAAATGAAACAAAAAATGATAGATAAGCGAAGAAAACGAAGGTATAAGTGATAAAACCCTTGCACTGATTCTATACATCTGGAGCATATGCTTTATAGAAAAGAAACCAAGCCCTTTGATGAATTCTGTTCCAGTTATTGTGTTAAGATAAGAAAACGTGGCAAAATGTCCGCCAAGTCCGCAGACCGAATAGTGGTGCAGGAAAAAAACTTCAAAGAAAGGGGCGAAAATGAATTCGAACCTGGTAACGATTAGGAGGTTTACTGTACGGAGGAACGGCTGCTGGCCACGTGGGGCCTTCTTCCGTGTCTTTTTGAAGTTCGTTAAGCTCCATCTCCATCGAAGCAATCTCAGCGTCAACTCTGGAGTTAAGTAAGCCTAGTAACGACGAAAACGGCGAACAGTTCCCGCATATTTATTGACAAATGGATAGAAAAAACCCTTAGCCACTCACTTAGCTACTTCCACGCTCACAAAATGATCATGTAGAGCGGACGCGTCAGCATCTGACAGTAACTTGGTGACAGCAATTGACTTATTGAAACCATCATGCGTGCGCCATTTATCGATAGCATCATGAGCCGTCTGCGTACCATCGACATGCCAGACATTGTACATTTGACCCTAAAAAACGAATATAAATGCAAATTCCAGGAGTTTGCTTAAGTGTGCTCAATAATGTAAGCGTAAGTGCAATGTGGATTTAAAATGGAAAAGATAGACAAAGGAAAAAAAACGCTGGAAGTAAGGGCCTAAACTTCCTGTAAGGTCGATCTTGGTATGACGGAGACAAAGGGTGCAGAGAAACGAGAATACACGACAGATAAAACTGTAGGAGAGCACAGGAACTCGACCGCTGCCTAGCGGGGAATGGTTGTACCATACACCCGTAGCACTGGCAAGGCCCTAGCGCCCCTATCGCCTCCTTCAAGGCGCATGAACGGCACACGAATAAAAACTCCAAAAGGCTTTATCCCTCACTAAACGGATTACTCCAGAAGTCTAATACTGGAAAGCCTCAATGCTGATATTATGACGAGAAAACAATAGCTGTTCATACCTGATATTCGCTGCTACAGGAAAGGTTGGTGGCTAATTGTAAACACTTCTCAAAAGCAAGCTGATCAGCGTCAGATCCACTCGCGAGCAGGTTACATGCATGGCGCTGTCTAAAAATACCAAATGTCAAAAAACCAAACAGCCTGAAATTAGCAGAGACTAGAGTCATCTTAGCCACATTTTCTCAAAAAAAAATCCTCCATAAGAATTGTCACACTTAAGGGATCACTCATGAATTGGAACATCGGATGAAAATATTACGTAATTGAGCAGTAGTTCATCGTCGAGAGAAATACTTTCGAAAATCATTCCTTCAGTGTTACTACTGTTTTGATTACAACTAGGAAGCAAACGAAAACAACAACGGGTTATAGTGTAAATTACATGGGTTGAATAATGACCAGTTGAGGTTTTAAATTCATGGAGGAACGCACTGGATAAGTTTCTGCATTGAAGGGTTGCTGAGAATAACGCCTGCATCCAACATACATCGACCACTTCCATCTTCTGCCGGATAACCAATCAGAACCGGTTGATTCCAATTCACCTGCAAATTTGGAGTGAATCAAAGCTATATGTGGAACTAATGCATATCGTCCCCACACCGAGAAGGGGCCTTGGTTTTGATGGCCAGGAATTGCTGATCGTATGCACCCTGGCACACCTACACCCGCTTTCTTGACAAATCGTCCCCAGATTTTTGTCGAAAGAAAACAGCAAGTAAAAAAATTAATAGAACAAACATTACAAGATAGTTTGGAATTTGTTGACAGATCTGTGTAAATAAAATCAAATTAAAAGGGACTATTAAGTCGTGAAGAAATCAAGTGGCAAATCTTCACATATCCCACAAATGACAGAAGATCAGTGCCTATAAATGGCTTCTGTAAATAGCAACACGACATACTTACGCTATTGATAAAGCGGTTCAGTTCGAATGGGTTGATGTAGGTTGAGTCGCGAACAAGTAAAAACCAGTCGAAATTCTCATGAAACGTCTGAAAATAAAAAGATTTTACGACTACACCAGCTACCACTCACTAATCCACCATCGCCTTACAAAGGGTCGCAGGACAAGTCGCGTTCTTCAGTAGGGTTTTTCGCATATTGTTGTTACCGCATGCACTGGACACAAAACTATGTACCATATTCACTGAGTGGTTTTAGACTGACGAGTAGTTGTGAAAGTCGGTTCATAGTATGGGAATTAGTGAAAGCGATGATCATCGGTGCCATTACGGTAGGTAGCAAAATTTGTGCGCGAAGGTGGCTCGGGGAAGGGGGGGGCAGACGCCGCGCGCGGCGTTGCGGCAACAGGAAATTCGTGAGCCAGGGGGAATGTAGCCAATTCAGGGGGTTGGGGGTGAGGGCAGTCACTTACATGCATGTGAAGCTGGAATGTTCGAGTTACACAACATCGCTGAGCCGCGCGCGGCGACTGCCCCAGCCCCCCCCCCGGCCACATTGCGCCCAAAATTTTAATATTTAGGTAGGTGTCACTTCGCAATACGTGCTTCCGTTTCGAGACTCCTACGACTACAACTGCAACTCGCTGCATGTTAATCGCACTCCCGAATTGCAAAGTTGACATCTGACTGTACCTTATATTTCAAGAACACATGAATGGGAACATGGACGGATCTTTCACTACTTTCTGGTACTAACAAAATCATTCAGCGGAAATGAAACACGCGCTTGTGCTCCATGCATGCGTCCCTGCCTGTGCAAAAAACCGCTTAAAAAATCACGGCTTGCGCTAAACGACTATCTTTGCTAAAAAAGCACACAACGAGTACTCGACAACACCATACCAACACAACTTTACAACACAGTGTTAACTCACCCATATGTATCATAGCTCACTTAATATAAACATATGGAGTTTAATATTTTATACATGTGTAGTTTTAGGCACCGCACGCAGAAAAAAGAACTATGGAGAAGCCTTACCAGGTTGAATATTAGCCCTAGGACAAAAACGTGCGACTTCTGACCATTCGGCCTGAAATATCGATGTACTGAACACATATGTCATCATAACGGGTAAAAAAGGAGCTACGTATAGGACTCGAAACTAACTTGTATGGACTAAGATTTGTGAGCTGCGCTAAATCAGTGTCGATACGACTAGCGTCGGCAAATACGTGAATTCTTGGCACATGTCTGCCGAGAGAGGCGTTCATCGCCACTGCCAACGAAGACTCAGCCAACACACCAACCATAAGCCGTTCCCGAATTCCGAGTTCGGTAGCAGCGAATCTAGCACGGACCACCTAAGAAGGAACACAGTCTAGTTCTAACCTTCATGGTGAACGTATCAGAACTCGTTTGGATATCTACCCCGGTGCCCCACACAGCTAGCCGAATCCACAAGCAATATGAATGAGGAATAATAACAATAATAACTAATAGTAAAGGAGAAGGCGAAAATGAAGTCCAAGGCCTGGCAGACTCACCTTTGGTGTTGCATCCTGATTTGGAGGCGGCGACGGCATGTTATCCAAATGCACAGTCCAGTGCTCGCTCACGTCAACGAATCTGGAACATGACGCAAATAATTACATCCCATTTATGATGGAACGAAGAAATAGACGGCGTTGCAGCGGATAACTGGCATCGAAGAGCAATAACTCTGAGAAAAAACCGCACTTACTCCTTTTGTGGTGCATTTCGTGAAGGACACATGGTTTCGCCGCCTATGTTGGTCTCTTCTGGTGAGAAGAACAACATAGCGAGCAAAGCACCCATCAGCATTCCGCCCAGGAGCGGAATGCACGTGCGAGAGCCGGCCACCATGACGAGCGGCTGCAATACAAAATTTAGCTGTGAGTTTACTTATTAACCACCTATACGTCATGGAGAGTACGCCTGAAAGGTACCTGTGGGTAACTAAAACAACAGCTGTTGTGTGGACATTTTTGCGAACACCGTAAAAACCCGAGAAGGGTGAAATTAGAAAGAGGAATTGAATAGTCGAAATCCTTTCGAAACCAATGAAAATACGTACCCTAACCCCAGTGCAATTAACCGGAACGAGCTATTTCCTCTCCAATGATTACGCCAAGTACAATCATATGGGTAACCGGGAAAGCCAATTTGGCAGTCGTGTTCTGCAACATCACCCAGGGGCTTAACAAAAACAAAACTGCAAAAACTATTTTTTTATGGGTGCGTCTTATGTCCAGTTATGATTTGAATACTAAAGCTCATATTAACGTGGAAAATAAATGCGACTACAAAATCAATGGAGTAAAACGCTACCTCAGTCCACGGTTTACCGCCGATGACTGGCCGATTGGAAGCCGACGCGGACTCGCAAAAACCTTGAAAACGTCAAACATGACGCCGAAATGCCTCACCGACCTAGTACGAGTACGAAACGACCAACGATTGAAATAAAGAAGATAGTGACTCCGCAGGCGCAGAAGTTCACATGTCACAATAACAACATAATCGCCATGAAACGTTCAAATTTACTGCGATTGCAGGAAGGAATTATATCCACAATAAAACATGAGCATGTTAAACTTCTTGTCATGAGGAGCCGCTCAGAAAGCAATCACGAGGACCCAGTGATGTGCGGCTTTGATTATTCTTCAGATGAGTCACTCTAGACAGACATAATAACTGCCATTGTCACAATTCTCGGCAATATTGCATTGTTACCTGGTGAAACCCCTGTTCTCACAAAATTCGCTGTTGACTCACATATAGAGATTATTCGATGCATGGTTGCGAATTTTGACGGCAGCACTATAAGTACAGCGCAGTTTTTCGGTTCGTCTGCCCACTCTCAATGACGAGATTGCACTTATAAGATTAGGCCGAGCCCCAAGGAAGAGGGGTGGGGAGCAAGGGGCTCCAAATCGAATATGTCACTCTTCTCGTCATCTCAATATACTCCAAAGTTCACCTTACGGCGAACGGCTCGCCCATTCTGGAGCCCTCTTCGCTCCAAGATTAGACCTGAGCGCAGTCCGGCGATCAGTGAGCGGGGCAGACGAGCAGAAAAAGTTCTATATAGTGCTATTGTCAGAAAGAATACTCACCTCACCTTTACTGAGGTTGTAATGGTTCAATAGTGCCCAATTCCTACAATATGCATATATCAAACCAGAATATTCTTGAGTGTCATTCGTCGTCCAGATGGACAAGCAGAAAAATAAAATGTATAACGGAAGCATAGAGACATTTTATTACTTGCGCTTAAAAGTCTCACGGTTTGACTTGACGCACCGAGATCGTAAACATTGGGTAGAGCACTCACAGTAGACCCGTACCCACGCGGGATTGAAGGAATCTTTCACGGAAAAAGCTCCGCCCTCGTTACCACAGAAAACGATCCTTAAAGGAATCCTC